TCGTCCACCCATCTAAGCAATAAAAAAACGTACTTAAAAATATTTAAATATATGCATTATAGATATTAAGAACCAGCAGTTAAGAGCATTAACTATTCTATCGCCAAGTCAGAGAGTTGATATTTAAAATGATGAAAGTTTATGAATTAAAGCCTTTCCTGCGCGATTATATACTGATCACAAAAACTGGTCCGTAAAAGTTAGTTTATTTTTATGTGGCTGTCGTCCCTGTCGTAAACAATTAAAAAAAAGATTTAAGTACAACATTAACAACACCCAACTGAGGACTCCCCTCGCAACTGTTTCCATACCGATTTTAGTCAGCGTCGATACAGTAGTTTGGGTGTGAAAATGTAAAACAGGCAAAGCCACGTCCATACTCATAAAATATTAGCGCGGATATTTGTAATATATTAAAATATCATTCTGATTTATTTCACCAACACTCAGTTTTTTTATTGTTTAGATAAATGGACGAGCTCACAGCCCACCTGCTGTTAAGTGGTTACTGGAGCCCATAGACGTCTACAACGTAAATGCGCCACCCACCTTGAGATATAAGTTCTAAGGTCTCAGTATAGTTACAACAGCTGCCAAACCCTTTAAACCGAAAAGCATTACTGCTTCACGTAGAATTAGGCAGGGCGGTGGTAGGGTAGGTGCCGTATCCGTGCGGGCTCATAAGATACCCAGTAATTACGCAAATTACAATAATTGTAATATTATAAAATTATTTTATCGGTAATCGAATCACGGCACAGTCGCATCGCTAGATACGAATACGGCTAATCCACGATGACTTAAAATTTTCACATTTATTAATGGGACTGTCAGAAAACGGAAAAATTACAAACATATAAGAGATTGAATCATCAAACTTATTGTGGGTATAAACGAAAAACATTTCTCTTACTACACGGGCACTTACTGCTTTTTGGAATCATTTGTGATAATCTCTATCTTACTTACGAAACAGAGTTCCTTTCGACAACTGGAACCAATGTATTTATTAAATTTATTTTTATTTCAACGATCATTTGCCACGGGCCACCGTTACAATAGAGACCACAGCTTCATTTCGCCTCCTTTTTAACATTTATTAGCTAGATTTGAATCTATTCAACGGGTTTTTTCAACGAAATTTTTACCAACTTCAAGACGTGAATACGATAGACGTGAAGACGTGAATACAATAATTTTATAATTTTAGCCTAATACCATTTTTTTTTCCTACCTAAGCTGATGGTCTACAGAGACCATATCAGCGTAACCTTAACTAGTAGGTGAGCTCACGGCGCTCAAACCTGACGATGTCGCTAATACGAACCCTAGCAAGAGCCGTGCTTCGCAGAATTTACCACCGGATCGGAAACGCGACCCACTGAGAAGACCCGGCGAAAAACTTAGTGGGCTTAATACCACTAATAACTGACCAAGATCGTCCGGATAAAAAAATACATTTTAATTTATATTTCAGCTTTCAGATTAAGCGAGTTCTCATAGTTATTAAACTGTATTTATTGATTTGAAGTCTGTTAAAAAAAACCATGTCAATTTCAATAACCGACAAAAAAGAAATATATAAGGAACCTTACGTTTTATTGTTGTTCAGTATTGTTAGCCTGCGTAACCCAGGTAGCACATTCGATAAATAACCTTACTTTTTATGGTGTGTGTTTTTTGTTCAGTTTTTTCTTATGTTAGACGAGAATAAGGACCGGTTTTCTTTCGCGAGTACATACGTCTCACAGCGGTCTCACATCGCTTGGTGTTTAAAAATTACACTTTCTTATTGTTTTGTTTGTATAGCACAAGATAAATATTCGTGTTTATACGAGTAATCATCGGGTACACGACAAAACAAATGACAAAAGGATGTACCTATCTTATTATGTGTATATTTATGTTATACAGCGCAATACATGCCGTATATGTGTATATGTATTACAATAAAAATTAGACTAAAATCTTTATAATTAGATTATAATCTTTAGAGAATTATCTTTATAATTTGATTAACTTAATTGTTTATTATGGGCAGTCGAGCTCACACACGATCGGGCGTTAAGTGTTTAGCAAGAGACAGGCAAATTTAGACGGTTTGGCCCTGTGGTTTGGCCAATTTATGACTCGAAGTATGAGTCACGGCTTCCGAGGAGTAGAATCGTTATTATAATTGAGAATTCGATCGTAACGTCTCATCGCTCCCAAGAACAGATAGATGGCTTTGGAAAGAATTTTATATTTAGACTAGCTGACCCGGCAGACTTCGTAGTGTCTCAATCGATAAACAAAAGACCTAAACTTTTGTATAAAATAAACTTAAACAAAAGGAATCCGTCCAGCACGGGACACACCAAAGGAAAAAGAAAATTGTTATTTTTATTTAATTATGAGCATTTTCATATTTATCTACCTTTTAAACCTTCTCTGGACTTCCATAAATAATTGAAGACCAAAATTAGCCAAATCGGTCCAGCCGTTCTCGAGTTTTAGCGAGACTAAAGAACAGCAATTCATTTTTATATATATTAGATAATATACACTACCTACGCAAAATTGTGGGTAGTTTTAAGTTTTGCTAGACAACTTTAACTATACTCAGGCACCAATGAAATCAATAATAAAAATGCAATACGAACCTTCTCTACTTATTCATCTATATTTCAAGGAGGACAGAGTTCAAATTCGTTTGTAATTATTTAAATAAACTATTACAATGTTGCAAACGTGATCTGTAATCTAAGTAAGATGCGTCTATTGCTTTTATGTTACCGATAGGCTCTTTATTTAAGCAACGAACAAACAGACAAAGAAAAAAGTACATTTAAATTAGACTGTTCCTTAAGAATTTAAATTTGATTTTAATTACGTCTGTCTGGCGGTATAGCGTTAACTTTTAAATCTAATTTTAACGTGATCACATTCTCATAATATAATATATTAGCCGTATATTATTTACTAGCTTACTTAATTTACTGTAGGAAGTTAAACTGAATTTTTATTCGTTTATCTATTAAATTTCTGAAAGCACTACTCGTACATAGTACGATTATAATATAATAATAATCAATATAATATTGTATGAATATCACTACATAGTATAAAACAAAGTCGCTTTCTCTGTCCCTATATCCCTATGTATGCTTAAATCTTTAAAACTACGGAACGGATTTTGATGCGGTTTTTTTCAATAGATAGAGTGATTGAAGAGGAAGGTTTATATGTATAATAACATCCATTAAATAGTGGAGAAATCAATAATAAATTACATTTTCCGAAGCGAAGCGAGGGCGGGTCGCTAGTAATATATATTCTAATAAATAGATAAAAAACCCAAGAATTAACCGTAAAAGTAGTATAAATTAGCTATGTATACCTACTTGTAAAAACTAAAGAAAATACTATGATATTTGTGCACTCAGCAGTGAGGATTACGACGCTAGGAGGATATGAATTAAAATAATAACTGTGGCCCTGGCTTTCGCTAAAATTATATAGGAATAACTGCCATGGAATCTGTTAAGCTGTCGTCAATAAGACATTTTTGGCGTCATGTGTACATGTCTCCCAACAGATGGGCCAGTCGTTTTGAAGTTTGGACTTCGAGCTCATGTCTCAAACTGTTATTGGGTTCCAGAAACCATTTAACAACAACAGAGCTATGAATATATCATCTATCTCAGCATCGCCAGTTCATTAGACTATCTAAGGCACTAAACAAAATTGTTTGATACACTTGCGTAACCTGTGAACGAAATTTCAATATTTTCGAGGAAAAAAATCGAATTGGTTCGTTTTCGAATAACAATGAGCGATTTCAGCACAATCAACCTACATTTCCTTTCGAGAAACACGTCCATGGAATGTGAAATGGAATTCATTATGCGGAACCCTAATTCTGATAAATCAATTTAACGTGGGAGCCCTTCTTTCGTGTCTGATGTGATCCCAACCAGACCAGTTTACCGCCCACCTTTATTTGATTATTTAATATTTATTTAATTCCAGATTCATTTCATTTAATTTTAAACACCGCACTTTTTATGTATCTATTGAAATTTGAATTTTCGTTTTAATTTTACATGTCACTGGTTGTAGGACCTTTTGTGAGTCCGCACGGGTAGGTACCACCACCCCGCTTATTTCTGCCGTGAAGCAGTAATGCGTTTCAGTTTGAAGGGTGGGGCAGCCGTTGTAACTATACTGAGACCTTAGAACTTACACCTCAAGGTGGGTGGCGCATTTACGTTGTAAATGTCTATGGGGTCCAGTAACCACTTAACACCAGGCGGGCTGTGAGCTCATCCACACATCTAAGCAATACAAAAAATAAAAACATGAAATTCGTTTTGTAATCGATACTCGATTTTATATTGTTTTTATATTACCATCGTAACGGGTCACGTCTAGACATCTCAGCTAATATTTAGCATCTATCGGAGCCTATAAGCCTCGACATTTTGCTTAATACGCGACAATTATCTTAAGGATTAAAAGTGCGTTTTATTTCCTATTAACATCAACGGTTCGATGTTCTTAATTGAACTTTAATTAAGTTTACTACATTGCTGTTTCAGCTGAAGAAGTTTTATTTGTTATGATTATTTTTCCAAATTTTAAACTTTTTTTTTTATTGCCCTTATAGACAGACGAGAATACGGCCCACCTGATGGTGAGTGGTTACCGTCGCCCATGAACTTCAGCAATGCCATGGGCAGAGCCAAGCCGCTGCCTACCAAAAACTTTAAATGTCTCTTTTGTAAAGATGCAAAAATGTCGCCCATTCACCCCTCAATATGGTTTCAACTCAGAAAGCAAAACTCTTTAAATCGTTACAAACTTAAAACTATTATCATTCCCATAATACAACTTCGGGTTGCTATTTAAACGCGCTTATTTTTCGTTTTCAAACTAAATTACATATTATATTATTTTTAAGTTTTTACACTACATGTGATATTTTTTATTTTTAAACTAATTTTATTTAATTTTTTCAGATTACTGGACGCTAAGGAAGCATGCCGATTCTTCATCAAGCGATAAAGAAAATTAGAAGAATGATATAAAACGCATGATTAATTATAATTTTCTTACAAATCAATCAAATATTTATTAGAATTATTTTCATTCAACTAACATTGTGTTCCTACGTTTAAATGATTTTAAGGTTTTTTTTATTTATCTTTCGGGGCTTAGAGGCTAAAAAGTCTTAATTTTTTTTCTAAAAAAACTAAATTAACGAAATTTCATAAATGATATAACTTTTGAATTAATCTGAGTTATGTATTATCTCCTTCCCTATCAATTAGCTATTTCACGAATAGTTAGACTAATAATTATTGTTTTAATCGAGCAATATTCTTTTTTTCTTAAATTGTAACCAAAAAATATGAAACAAATTAAGTGTGTGTATCCTATATTTTGTTACCATACATTACAGACTTAGGGATATCAGTTATAATTGTATTGTGTCTCAACGGTCCTAAGTACGTGCTTCAACGCGGAGTTACTCATATACATTAATTCAATAGTCATTCAATATACATACATATGTAAAATAATAATGTGCACATCCAAAAAGGTAATAAGTCAACGTAATATTTCCCGCGGTTTTCGCGGTTCCCAGACATAAAACTAAAGCTATTTTTAACATTTTAAATTCGCAGTTGATACTATACGTCGTATCGTTTCTGGTGTTTTGAATACTTTAACTTTTCGCTGTCGCTTATTTAGTAATTTTACAGGTAATTTGACGGTAGTCGCACAAAATCTCAACGAATAGCTTCCCTGTGAAAATTAAAAAGCATTCGATACTTCTAAAGAGAGAGAGAGAGAGAGAGAAAAAATTGCTAATTTAATGCCCGGTAAAAATAGTTTTAATCGCATCAATTTTAAAGAGCCAATGAAGTTCGAATAGAAATCTTCAATTATTGCGGGATTCGCATTTTCTTCACTTAAAATGAAGTTTGAAGAAGATATTTCATTCTGTTAATAACTCGAGTTAATGCTTTAGGTTTTAAGTCATTGAAACGACGTACGTGCCTATATATAAATAGCATGCTACTATGCAGATTTTCTTCGATGTAAATAGAAGATTAAGGTATTCAAAATCTCTTCTGGGTTCACGTCGAAAAACAATTGAATATGTAATTTCGAAAATGGCACATCTCTGAAAATGTAAAATGTATAGGAAATGAAAAAAAAACTTATTATTTTCTAAAGCAGTGTAAAATTTAAAATATTAACTTTTGAGATATATTTTAGTGTTAATTAGCAATTGAAAATTAAATGGAATTATTATAAAATGGGTGTAGGTAAGCGTCAAAACTACATGTATATGAAAAAACGTATTTGACAAAATATGCGACATGTGCCCTTTTCGAAGTAGCATATTCAATTGATTATTTTATAGATTATTTTTTGTACAGACTATTTATCGGATCGCTTATCGAATTTATTTAACAAACAGACAATGTTATTTAACTATTTATTTAACAGACAGACAAGAGGGATAATTCAAAAATAAATAAACACTATACTCATTTTACAAAATATTTCATGAGTTTTCATAATGCGTCCGTATTAAAAGTCACCTTTAACATTAAAAAATGTCTATATTTAATTCATTTTATATTCTAATGACTCAATTAAAACATTTCGTGATCACGAAAGACGAGAATGTATTAAAAATAAAACTATAAACAATAATTTGTAGTTAATAAAAGCGATGAATGTTAATTATTCAGACAGACTGTAAAATGAAATAAATAAAAAAGACATTGTTTAACAAAAAAACAATAATTACATATATCGCTTCGTATTTTTCATAATATTTTTGTTTATTCATTTGCCTAATGTAAATAAATATCTAAAAAAAAACATACTGATTGATTATGTAATAGACCGGATACAGACTACAGATTTCAAGGCATGTTAGTTATGCATTCTGATTATAATATATAAAAAGTATACGGAAAATATTGTTTGAAATATCAATAAATTTCACGTTTTGAGATCGTCGTTAAATCCTAAATAGTTTTTAAGAAAACAGAAAAAAAAGACGCGTTTTCTTTAAAAAAAATATTTTAACTTAAAACTTTTACATACGCCCTACTTCATAACCGTGTTCACCGTTCATCCGATGCGGGCAGTGATCGGACTGCTTAAACATCACAGCTTAAACACGATTCACCAATCAAACGGGAACGAATTTTTACTGGTGGTAGGATCCCTTGTGAGTCCAAGTAGGTACCACCACCCTGCTAATTTCTGCCGTGGACCAGTAATGCGTTTCGGTTTGAAGGGTGGGGCAGCCGTTGTAACTATACTGAGACCTTAAAACTTATATCTCAAGGTAGATGGCGTATTTACGTTGTAAATGTATATAGGCTCCAGTAACCACTTAACACCAGGTGGGCTGTGACGTACACCCATCTAAGCAATAAAAAAAATTTATCACCTGTAAGAGATACAGACGTATGGTTGAACCTGTCTGGATCTAGAACACACCCTACCGGTACTTCGATTAATTAGAATCTATTTGCGTAGAGCTAAAGTCATTAATTGTCGATCGCATCCATACGTAGCGTACCTATATGTAAGAGTTTTAAACCTTGTTTTTAATCTTAGAATCTAGTCTGAGATCTCTGCAATAATGTGTATATATACATATATATATATTTTTTAATTCTTAAATTATGTTAATCTAGGAAGCTTCCTAATTATTCTGTCCTTAGATTTTAGTCTCTTCATAATAATAATAATAATAATAAAAAACGCTTAGCCTGTAAATTTTAATATAGAAATTTAATACCTATATAAAAATAAGTCGATTAAGTGCCTAGATTTGTTTTTAATATTTATATGTAAATTAGTATTTTCGTTAGTGTTTTAAAAAAAAAAACCACCCATTAAATAATTTAGCCTTTAATGTTTTGGTGCAAGCGCTTCTTCGTGTTTTTTAGATTAACAAGTGATATTTTTAATTACAAGATTAATGTACAACTTGCTATTTGTATAAATAAATTTGATAATATAATTGTATTTATTTGGTTTATTTCTTGTCGTTCATTAATTTGGATCTGTTAGCTATAGAAGACACGACTCTTACAAAGGCACCAATAGTAAGTTTCCGCATATAATTTCCAATTTACAGCAAGCAGGTGGTAAGTCAATAGACTACGGGACACTGGTAATGAAAAAGACCCATTGTGAACCCCTGTAGACAGTCGTTCATATTTGTCTATAAAATAGACGCTGGATTTAAGTTTTGACCTCATAAATACAAAATTACGCTTGTATTCGTTTGCGACAAAAAACAATCAGTTATTGAAGTGAAACTTTGAAACGTTGTGATTTCAAACTCGATGAAACGAAAAAGTAAGTCCATAGAGACACAAACACATAAATGTATAGGTTTCAGCCGGCGAGAGAATGAGATAGAACACATTAGACGTTCTCGGTCTCCTCTTTGTGCGACTCTTCGTAGCATCCTCACTATCGTCTACTAAACATTGTCCATATACATGTATGCTCCTGTGTAGTGGGATAGTCAGTATATCTATATCTTATAAGTTTCACTTCTACCGTGTGTGACTTGCACACACACACACTTTTGTATAATTATAAACCCTTATCATAATTGTTTCATTAATTAAAGTAGAAAATAGATAATAAAATAGTAAAATAGAGGGAAAAAGGCCTAGGGGTAGAGGTCCCAAACGATGGTCGGACCAAATAGCGGAGGAACTGGGGATGCCTATCAGCGACGCACTCCACCGGGCTGCAGGGCGGGATCGATGGAGACAGTTGGTTGACGAAATCGGACGGAGTCACGATCCTCAGCAGTGAGGAACCGATCGAAGAGAGAGAATTAAAGTAGATGACACCGCAATGTATACGAAGTAGTGAAACAATTACGTAACTTAGTTATACCTACATAGGAAATGTGAAACACGTCGGAAAATGTGAAAACCGATAGGGTTACTTACACGAATATTCAAGTTTGTTCATATTTTAAACACCAGAAAGGTTTTATAGAACCCACAAAAAATAATATTGAAATCAAAACTACAATTACGTTCCACGAAAGCACTAATCAACAAAAATAATAACTAGAATTAAAAAATACTAGCAATCGAAACGAATCTCCTTTAGAAAATATCCTAAATCTACAAAAAAAAACACACACACCTACAGAACTGTCTGGAACTTTTCGAAAATCAAAAAGAACGTCGCGAAATACTTTTGAAATTAGTTACTTCCTACCCACTGGACATGGAGTCCGAATATTCGGAGGTGTCCCACGCGATGCACGCAGTTAAATTAAAAATAAAACAAAAACAAAAAAAAAGCGTCAAACAGGCAAAAGGTTCTGCAGTGTTTGTTATTTCTGTTGATTTATCGTTTTGAATTCAAGTCAACCACAAATTTAAAAAAAAAAAATTGAAGCTTTTTTTTATGATTGAAGGATTACTGGTAGCCCGAAAGCCTTTCCAGTTTCACCAGGACAGGTGGGCGAGCAAAGGCTCAGCCAGGAGAGGGGGTTTCTTGAAGTACAAAATAATATACGTATCATGCGACAACTGAAGTGTATACACTGTATAAATTTAACTAAAATAGAGACTAACAAAGATCTATCAAAGTCTCAATATCATTGTTTGAGGGATGCTCCATTTTTCAAACCGTATGTTTGCTATGCGGCAAAAATAGACAGGGTTATGTAATGACACCCAACTGCGAGGACTCACCAGCCTTACGACCAGTAAATAAGGGTTAGCAATCAGAATATTCTAAAATCATCAGTCAATGGTCCCGAAAACAATCCTATATAACAAACGGTTCAGTATTCATTACAATCTGTGATCTTGAATACGACGGAACCCAATGGTGTAAATAAATAAAAGTCCAATAGAGTCCGAGCGTGACTCATCCGATTGACGGAAAACGTTGAGTCACCGAGGCAACGTGTCGCTACTTGTAACTTTGTCTCTGACCCGTGATTCTGACCTGTGAGTAATGGTGGAGAAATTTGGAGATTTTTTTTTTTCGTTGAGGTATTTGGTTCTTACGTATTAACGCCACCGCAGCAAAAATTCGGTTAAACTTTCCTTTATGGTCCGTCGATTTTGGGTAGGAGTGGGGATTGTGGTTAAGGGTTTACCCCCTGCACCATTCCCACCTCGCGGAACCTCTTGCTTAAGAAGATATACAGGGTTAATTTTTTTGATTAAAATTGCATTATTTAGTCATACTCGAAGGGAACTTAAGCTTGAATCCGCCTTATCTCCGGCGCTGCGGGAAGAGCAGCCCTTCCGCCCTTGCGTGCTGTGTGCTTAGTGCGAGTTTTTTAACGTTCTCGATAGCGTAAAAGTTAACTCAAATTTGTATCGTTTGCCTACGATTGCCGCTAGGGGCGCTATTCCAACTCCATACAATTTAGAGTTAAGTTTTACGGGATCGAGAAATTAAAAAACTCGCACTAAGCACACTGCCCTCGGGCCATGTGCTCACACGATTTGAAGCTGTCGTTTCTGATAGCCACAGGTCATAAAATCGAATAGGTTAAACTGTAGAGGATTATCTTTTATAGCTTTTTTACGCATGAGTGGACGGCCTATTGCATAATGGCTACTCCATATTTCAAACCGGGATATTTCATAACTTTGCCGCGGAAATAGGAAGGGTGGCGATACCTACTTAACATCAATAATTACGCAAATTTATTATAACTTGCGATTTTGATTTGCATTACAGGATATTTCTTCGTCAAATGTTCAAATGTTGTTCGGAACTTGTATATATACAACCTTATCTTGCAAATGTCTTAAAGGTGTATGGGAAAATATAAGATATTTTGTAATTATATTATATTTTGTATTTTTCAGTGTGCTTATATAGTGCGAGTTTTTTAACGTTCTCGATAGCGTAAAAGTTAACTCAAATACGTATGGAGTTTGATACGGGTCCCTACGTTTGCCGCTAGGCGCGTTGTTGCAACTGCTTACAAATTTGAGTTAACTTTTACGCTATCCAGAACGTTAAAAAGATCGTACTAAGCACACGGACGCCATGGGAATGTGAAGTAGTCGTTAAGCGCCTTAAGGTATAACATGGCAATATAAAGACTTGCTCTGTTGCGCAGTATTGTCGAAAAGGCGCTAAGCTAAGCTG